AAAACGAAGGGAATCGAGTGCCGACTCGGGCATTAGGAGTATGGGTTCTAAATCTCGACGGGATTCCCACCATACCGCCATTTCCGACTTCAAGACTGAAGTAGCGAAGCTGTGGCAGCGGCGCGAATCAGTTTGCAATGTGGTTAGCCCCAGTTCCGCAACTGCCAGACGAGATAGCGGGGAGTCGGCTCGTAGTGGTAGAAGGGATTCAACATCTTATTCGCATCAGGCTTCAAGGAGGGGTTCGGGAGAAAGCGGAAAAAGCAGTAAGCATCCGATTTCCCCGCCCATATTTTTGCGTTATTTGTTTTGCGTAAAGACGTTCGAACCCAGGTATAAGTGGTCGATACTCGACAGTGGCCCGAAAAACACGTCAAATTCGCATCAATAAAAGGATGACTTGAATAATTCCACATATGGACGTTAAACTTAATGATTAATTTAAACTGTTATCAAATTCTTCTATTTAAAACCATGATGTAGGAGAATCTATCCAGAAGATGTCCAAAATAATATATTTCGTTTATTATCTCTTTTAGAAAATAGTATTAAATACAAAATTTATAGACGAGATTAAAAGAAACAATTTAAAATTATTTTTAAATATACAGGGTGATTCATAAATATATGAGAAATTAAACACATTTTTAAATGGCCCTCTATATTATGGCATATAGATATAGATATATATGGCATATAGTTACTTCATTTTATACTTCATAACCCAATGTAGGGTTGTTATGGTCTATACTGAGTGTAAAATATTAATTTTTGCGAAAAAATCAAATGGAAGATCCTATATATTATTATTTATTGATTATTCATAATTTATTAGTTATTAATTTTTTTAAAAGAAAGGCTCATCCTTATTCATTACCTATAATCCTCCATTTTCCGCAACCGCAAAGGACATTCTACGTAATCAAAAGCTCTGTGATTTACTTTCGATTTTCAACAGTGTAAAAAGGTAAAAAAAAAACAATTTCAAAATCGTCATATTTTTTGCAGTAATGATCAAAAGCTGAATTTAAGTTGACGTAAACAAGATTTCACTTAAGTGACAAAAATTGACGACACTAATTGACGTAAAAAAGACGTCACTTAAATGACATAATTCGTCTCAGACATCAGTCGGTCAAATTCAAGTCCTGCTCACGTCATACTGGAAATACGCTGCTACCTGGAAATACGTCAATGAGAGAACTAGATCACCCATGTAGCTACTAAAGGTATAGATGTCCTGCCTAGGCCGATAATAAAAGAACATATAATCCAACAATTAAAAAAAAGCATTTTTCAGCATTTTGACTATCCATGTATAATTTGCAATTACAAAAATTCTGATCGATAACTCCTTAATTTCTACACCCGTCAGTGTCATAGTAACAAAATTTTTATTGAAATTCTGTTTTGATCGAAAAAATGAAAAAAGTATGGAAATGTATTATTCAAAAACAATCATAAAGTATTGGCGGATCGGAAAATGCAATATTGATGCTACGACCAAATTTTCAGAACACTCCAATGTACCGTTCGCCGTAAACGTCTAAAGTAGAATCAACCGTGAAACAAGCCGTATAGAGATATATGCCGATAATACAGGATATTTTGAAAAGTTGAGAATATTTTATTTTACAACATTTATTCTTCTCAGACAATCCTTTCCCTCAGTATTTTCTAAACGGGATAAACATTTTATAAGATAGTTTTCACTTAAAGTGAACTGAATTTAAGTTTAAGTTATTGAAACTAAGCTTCGAGTAAATAATAAAGGCCAACAAGTGAACCAAATCATATAAGACCTTACACTGCCTATTTGAGCAATTTGACATTTTTAAACATTTTTGCAAACAAAGTTATTAAATTTATGTTGTGTTGAGTGTTGCAATGACGACTTGCTTGTGATTAGGACGACTTTCGCATATTTAAAAGTTAAATTTTGAATAACACTGCGAAACTTTTCTATAGAGATAAGAACGAAACATTTCGATTAATTAAAGAATTAAAGATTATAAAATGGTCTGGTCTATTAAAAAGCAACTTGTTCATGTTGGTTAGTTTTTGCGAAAAAGTAGAAAATTAATATTGTTAATTAGTTGATTTTATGTTAAGCGTTCATGTGCTGCTTAATAGGAACATTTTTGTTGCATCTCATCAAGGCCAGCGAATACGAAAGGTTATTTTTTTCATAATCTGGAAGATAGTTGGCATTTCTACCGATTAGACTTAATAAAAACTAATATCACACCAAAATAAAAGTTAATTGTATAGATAAACTGACGTCAATCTAGTAGATATAAACATGTGTCTATGTTATGTTGTATACGTACTATATAATATAATGTGCGCTGAAATATTCGTACACAGTGAAATAATACACGGAATAAGACTCTATAAATGGGTCAATGGGGAACTAGTTGCATCTTGAGAGTAATAGCCGCATCGTCGGAGCATTGTCTGCGTGCCATTTCCAATAACGTAAAGAGAATGTTACGGGGCCTTCAAACTGACGAGTTTCCTTTTGTATCCCCGAGGTGATATTTCGCGATATAAATAAAAGTAAATAAAAATTCAAATTACTTGCTTTGTTAACTTTATATCAGAGCTGCAAATGCAAGGAGAGTATGTTAATTTGGACAAACATTATCTGCAAAAAAAAAATAAATAAACGGATGGTGATCAAGTTGCGTTTCCAGGTTTTTAGCTATAGAATGGGTCTTACAAAAAGTGGGTATAGCACATCAGGCTTGTGCCCGTTTCCTGGCAGGAACAATTTATTGTAGTTCAGTACATATTTTCCAGCATGACAACAGGTATTAAATTGTCTCTTAAAAGAATGATTATTACAAATTAAGGCAAAAGACAACAGGTACCGAGACTCTTGAAATGAATACCATCAAGAAGATATATGACCCATGAGGCAATGTTTTTGAAATTTGTAGCTTTCAATGTTGTCGGCAATGACAATACAATAATAGCAAATGAGTTGAAAATTTTGTTTACCACTCATGTACAATTGAAAATAAATTCTATAATCTGCATAAATGAGACTTGTACTTTTTCAACTACCAGAGACAAGAGTGCAGAACAAACGATCTTTCGGAATTGGCGAAATACCCGTATGACTTAAAGTGTCGCATGTTTTATTTGGTCAATTTCCCTCGGCGTTGAAAAATTTTAAAGTAGGGGGTGATAGGGAATTATAGACAATAGTTTTTCCAAAGTGCTAGAAAAACCATGTACAAACGAAGAGCAAGAAGACGTTATCTCAAATATGCAACATGCTTTTCTTCTAGGTGCTCCACCCAAACTCATGTCCAACATATTTTTTATAAGCTCGATATCGGAGAGACGGTGGTTGGAGTTTTTTTTTAGATTTGTCACGCGTATTTGAAGATCTAACGATGGAGATTACGTTGAAAATTTGAAGATTAATTAATTAATTGAAAAATACACTTTTCTTTTCCAAAGAAAAACTGCTGCACCCAATATCGACAAACTACACATTTTTGAAATCGGAATTCAAAGGTCTTTTATCCTGAGTAAAAATATACAACGTGTTCTGTTAAAAGAAAATGAAAATTTTATTTTTTTTAATTTTTGCGATAATCATTTGCTTTTATTGAAAATAATCTCGAAAAAATCATAAAGCTTTTATGTAAAAAAAATTTACACAGCTTTTCAAGTAAACTTTGTAATTTATAAATCTGTCTGCGCAGACTTGAGCTGCAAGACGTGTCCAGTTCGGAGGGTTGCAGATGCAATTCTTATGCAACGCCGAAGGTCATATTTGTTTTTAAGTTACAAACTTACATCTAGTGTACAAGGTGTGCCAGATTGGATACTTTCAAAGAGAAACTCCCATTTTTATAGGAGATAGACCGAAAATAATGTTTCAGAGTTATAGGATGGATGTTTTTGGAAAATTTTGTGTTTCTATGAAAACATTTTCAAAGCAATATTTTACGCCGAATTTAATGATTTCAATTTAATATTTTTACTACTAATAGTCAATTAGACATCAACTAAAATATTTATTTTCGTATATAATATACACGATGGCATTTCTAAATTAATTTTCCAAAAATATATACTTAATATTTCGCACCAGAGTTTGGGCCAATTGCGTTTTGCACTGCCAAATGGGATATTATAGTTTTTGTTTCTGCGACCAATAAAATGAAAAAAAACAACCTCTTAAAGACATTTTCGGAAGATTGCGACACGACCTAATCAATAGTAATAATTTTGAGAATAAGTGGTAGCCGAAAACCACTGCATGAAAGATATATATTGCAGACACCAACATGACTGCGAGATGAACTTAACAAAATTCTTTGTTTGACATTTATTTGAGAAATTACGCTAAAACCTAGCATCTTTACGATCAAAATCATAATTTGGACACTAAATCGTCTCCTGTATTATGGTGGCATTGTCCAAAGCCTGGTTGTTCAAAACTATTTTTTCCAAGGAAAGTCAATCAAAATATCAAGTATGCTATATTTTTGGAAGAGTATTTTTGAGTATTGGTATCTAATAAAAGATTATATTTAGGATATTCAATTCGCAAATACAGAACTAAGCATAACAGAAAAGTTAGAGCGGCTTTTTAAAACCCACATTTTCGAAAAATGTCCAGGAATGGAAATGAACATCTACTCATGTGAAATTTTTAAGATACCTGTATTTGTTTTCGCCTCCAAGTATGTTATATTTTTAGAAAAATAATTTCAAGTACCTTACAATGATTTAAAAGTGACCATTTTGGCACACCCTGTACATTTGCCGCTTGGGGTAAGTCAAAATATTTTTCTACTCCCGTCTGTTTTAAATTTTGACGTTTGTCAATTCTGACGGACATGTCAGTGAATGTGTTCGTGTTGTTTTGCAAATATGTACCCAAAGACTAATACACAGAAATATGTTATGTAATAAATAAGACAATTTAAATAGTACGTGCTATAAGCTACAATTAAAATCTAGTGGACTAATCAGTAAGTAAAGTGACATTTATAATTTAAGTTTTCCACAGAAATTTTTCATACCGTTCGCATGAACTTTATTGGTTTTTACAATTTTTATATTAAAATCTTGTACTATTTTCATATATCCATGTCTCATCAGTACAAACAAAACAAAATTGAAGGTTAGGACCGGTTTTTCCTTGTTTATGCGATATTAGAAATTTAATCCTCTTAAAAGCTCTATCCTTCGATGATTTTTCTTCCAATTACAGCATTTTTTCTTAAATAAACTACTACACATTGTAAGAGTTAAACAAAATAACGTTTTAATTATTTTTACTCAAATGCCGTTTACCGCACGAGGGCTACCTTTTATAATTCAGAATTTTTAATAAAACACCTACAAATATGACTTTATTGCTTCCAGAATATTCACCCTGATAATCAATACACTTTTGCATTCGAAAAAACCGATCATCGAAGCACTTTTCCCACATTGATTCGGGCACCTCCAAAACATGCTTTTTAAACGCGTCAATCGCTTCCTCAGCTGACAAAAATCGTTGCCCACGTAATTTATTCCTAATATATGGGAATAAAAAGAAGTCATTAGGTGCTCAATGGATGGTCAATGCTCAAAAAGTTCTTTGTTTGCACTGATCCGTGAGCTCTAGCATTGTCGTCGTGGAGAGTGATTCGTCTTCGGCGGTGGTTTTTCTAATTTTTTCGAAAACTTTCGGCAAACAAATGATTGTATACCATTCAGAATTCACTGCTTTAACTTGCACCAAATAAACGGTGGCAACGTGGCCAGTTTTCCTGGAAACTATCATTTCTTTCGAGGTGCTTCACGCACAAACAACTTTTGTGGGCTTTGTCTCAATCTGAAAGACCCACACAGTCGACTGCTGCTGACTTGCTGGTCAATATGCATAAATTCATGATTCACCACCTGTCACGATATCATAGACGTGTTTGCAAGCACCGCGATAGTATTTTTTTATCATTTCCTTCGACCAAACAACACGAGCCTTTTTTTGAGCTGATGTTAAATTGTGTGGAACAAATTTTGCAAAATTGAATGTATGCTGGTCCCACTAATGCCCAAAGATACCTCAATCTCATGGCAAGTCACATGACGATCCTGCAAAATCAGTTTCCGCACTGCATCAATGTTTTCTTGGACAACCAGCGATTTTGGACGACCTTCACGAAATGCATCCTTAAGAAAACTACGACCACGACTGAAGTCTGAAAACCAGCCATAAACAGCAGTCGTAGATGGTGCTTTAACTCCAAAAGTTAAGTTTATCATGCGTTGCTGTTGAGTTAGTCCACGTCTAAAGTTGTAAAAAATTATCGCACGAAAAAACACAAACAACACTCTTTCGCCAAAACCTAACTGAGTAAACCTAACCTCAAAATGTCACTTTACTATTACGTATCGTAAAAAAAACAGCCTAATGATTATTATGGATTAGTGGATATAATGGATATAATGGACATAATTAATATCTTTGAGCAAAACTCTAGACGCGGTAGCGCAAAACGCTACACGTTCTAGTCACGAAACCCCGCAGCGAAATCGTATACTTGTTCTACAGGAAATTCCTCGATTGAAATGGATCGCCGTAGGCCGCGGCGCTAATTGATTGTAGAAAACGTGAACTGAAACTCGAGACTACGAAACGCCGGCCGATCTCGACGGCATTGGAATTCGGGCACTGGAGACGTCGAACAATCGGTGCAATATTCAGGACGCGTCTTTGCAAAACCACGAGATGCCTTGTTCGAGTAGGTTCAGTTGATAAACTACAATGGACGAATACATGCCCAGTAAACAAAAATATATTAATTAATAAAGGCTACCAAACATTTATGGAATATATGGAAACCATGTTTTTTGCAAGCCAGTGGCGGCTCCTGGGAAAAATTGAAAGTTGGTCTGCAATTCTTGAAAAAAAACTTACCTTAACCAAAAACAAGGAATTATTAATTTCCTCACTTATTTGTTCATGGCAAACTTCAAGCATTCAACAGAAAATTCTGAATTTCTTTCTTTAGAAGTGCCCTTAAATATCGAAGAATTTTTTACATGCTCACTAAGAGTTGAGAGAGTAGAATTCAGCCGAAAAATGTCTACGAGATATTCCGGGAAATTTCGTTCTTAACATTTTTCATCAAAGCTCCGCCAAATGTAATACAATTAATAATTTTTGATAAAGTATATCTATTTTTTGCCTCATTTTCATGATGTTTGGGTACCCAATATCTAATTGAACCCTAATATTGGTTGGCCGCAATAACTCAATTTTCTTACAATTACGAATGTGAATGAAACTTGCCCTAGATCGGTAATTATTATATATAATTATGCAACAAGTGTGGTAAACGGCATTTGACTCACGAGTTTATTTGAGTTTATTATTGAGTGGCTCGGATCTGTGGGAAACGAAACTGACGTGGTAAAGTGACACTTCCCGCATCCTAGATCGGTCGGTAATTAGATATTTTACAGATGGAAGTAGAAAAACAATATTTCAGTCGAAGCTTTATCGTAGTGTAGTACACTAACAAGAACAGATAGATAAACAAAACTAGTCGATAAGATTTGTCTTGGTAATGTTGATTTTACTGTTTCGCTTGCTAGTCGACTTGAGTTTATAATTTATTTCTTTTTGCAAACAATGTCGTAAGTACGGGGGTTATCGGAAATATAGAGGGAAAGAATTATTGCTCTGGCAGAACGAGGCAGAAGGGGGTGTTTCTAACACATATTCAAGGTTTCTGGAATTGGGAACCCGAAAGAATAGACCGAATGGAAGTAGTAGAAAAATAACTAGGGAAAGGCTGGATCGCTTTGTAGCTCAAATAGCAAGAAGAAATCCCATAATATCACATCCCGAGCGTCAAAGGCAACTTTTGCAAGCTACAGTGTTTCTGTAGAAAGTATCAGAAGGGAACAGAATTATTTAGCAGGCAAAATGATATTAAATTGGTGTGATGAAAACTGGACGGTTGAAGATTGGAAAAATGCCTAATTTTCAGATGGAACCAGAATTTGCGTACCATTCGATAACCAACGTATTCGTATTTCGTCCTTTAATTCTTATTCGACAAACCCCAACACATCAAAGGTATGTTGGTTTAATTTTTTGCAACCTGTAGTCAAAGTTTGGGGAGGTGGTTTTCGTGACTTTTTATATTTATGCAAGACAATCCCCATAACAATTTTTTTTTAGAAACGGAAGTTTTCGAGTGGCTTTCTTGTTTACCAGATCTCTTAATCCTATGGATAAGATCAAGAGAAAGATTAGAGCTCGTCAAAAATAACCCTGGTGCCACAGAGCCACTTATACAAGCGGTATTAGCGGAATGGGCAAATGTTCCCCAAGAAGAAATTAACACTTTGATGCATAGCATGACTCGTCGCGACGTCGGCGATTCTAGAGGTGGCCAATATTGATTATTAAAATAATTTGTTATTTTTGTTGAATTGACATTGTCAGAAAAATTATTTTTATGGAATTCTACACTTTTTGGTAATTGTTCTATTATTAACAAAATTTGTATTAATTTTTTTAATATAAACTTGGTTTGTAAAAACTTCTTTCATTCCTCAGTGCTTTTTTTCAAATTAAATTCTATTTCTCGAAATTAAGGAGATTTAGAAAAATAAGTTTAGTTGTGTATATTTTGGGAATTAGTTGGGAAAAACAAAAAACAAATTTATTAAAAGGAATTCTTAAAAATTCGATAGTGAGTTGCGCGTCCACGTAAGTTTCAACATTCTGTGACTCTTCGTGACATTCTGCGAATCAGACGTTGTACATTTCAGACAACCGACTCAGTTTATCTAACATATCCGATACATGTTCAATAAACTATGGCGTCCTTGTGGGTCACGGAAGAAGGGTTATTGACATGTCTAAAACAGATACAACTACGTCTGTCGTGGTGTCTGTCTATTGGTTAATGCCAATATCAAACGAGGAGGGTATGATTGGACCGTATAAGCTCAAACTCTTCAATAAATCGATCTCGTGAACATCTCACTAAGTCTTAGGCGCAGTGCATTGAGATCACTGGATCTTTCTGAAGCCCAAGTGCCCATACGACCTACCTATTGTTACCAACTTCCCGAAAGAACATCCTACCTTGTCGTAGGCCTATTATAATACCTGATTGAAATTCACTGAAATACCGATATACTTTCTATTACAAAAGGCATTAATAACACAGGTCTACAAAATTAAATTTTTTGATAGACGTTTTTATTTTGAAAACTGATTTTATATAATTTGGTATACTGGTTTCAAAAATTATATGCATTTATTTGTATCACGTAAGGTTTTTGCAAATGTTAAATGAAAATATTTCTCAAACAATTTATTTTTTTATTCAGTAAAAAAGTGGAATCCTAGTTAAAAATAGTGAAAAAAAAACTTTTTTATATATGGTATAGCCGTTCCATTTCCTTAATGTCCTGGTGAAACCTCTCCCCCTGTTCTTTAATAGTTCAATTGTGAAAACTGGAAATGCACTTTGAAACTCATATTACAACCTAGACGATGAAAGTGTTGTAACATATCTTGAACAATGCTTTCGTAGTCTACTTCCTTAGATTTCCCAACAAACTTTCAATTACTTCTTTAAAAGAAACCTAAGCGTTTTTCTCGGCGTTGGTCATTGTGTTTTCAAAACCCTCGGCTTCGCATAATGTTCTTATATGCGGTCCCGTAAAAATACCTTCTTTCATCTTGGTATCAGATATGACTCGAAATTTCTCGCACAAATATTTGAAACACTGTCCATTTTTGTCGAGGGCTTTAACAAACTGCTTCATCAGGACAAGTTTGATATGTACAGGGGCCAACTAAGCTATTAAAACATTTTTGCTACCAGGTGTAAGGCTTCTTCTAGATCTCTATCTCTTGCCCGACTATTCCACTCACAAATAAAGCATGGAAATTTTGTATAAGCCCCCTGTTATCCTAGGAGCATGCACAACACTTTACGGTCACCACAAAGCATCCACTGATGTTCTTGGTAGTGTATTTTCTTCAAAAGAAGTCTCAAATTTTCATACGGTTCTTTCAAATGTACCCCATGTGCAAAGGGAACCTAATTTTGAAACTAAGTCAGGAATATTATTGCAATACACTAGCGGTCCTTCCTGAGTAAAATATTGACATCACTCTTTTTCGCGATCCCGATAAAACGTTGATGTGACATCAGGCGCCAGCAAATGCTTGTCACAAAGTCTGGACGCTAACAATTCGGCTGCATCCTTTAAAAGGTGCAAATCTCCAATTAAATCATTTAATTCGCTCTGGTTAAACACATCGGGCTCTCTGAAATCTGGCGGAAAATCTGAATCATCTTGGTCGAAATTAAATTCCTCTGATTCTGACGATATGACGTTTTCTAGTCCTTTTAGAGCGGTGGGTATCGATACATCTGGTCCATGAGGAACTGGCAAGGTTGGGATACACAATTTGTTTCTTATTTATTCTGTTGAATCCTTGAACTTTATACGAACATCATCTCTCAATGTCTTCTTTTCATATTTATACCTTCTAGAACACTATAAATTCGAAACAACGAAGACAACAGCTGCGAACAGAGTAGCACAACTACCAATACAACCAAACTGCGCATAAGCAGGTTACAACGCTGTACTCAACTCTGTTGCTTTCCAGAGAAATATGATATAATCCAGTGTTGCCAAACTACATTTAATTTCATAAAAATCAATTCATTTCAAAGTCATGCCTAACATGGAATAAACATATTCATGTCATAGGTACGTATATTAATAAAATAGCATTTTTAAGATATAAAGCGCTATGAAAGAAATGACGCGATAGAGCAAAATTATGGCGTTTTTTGGAAAAAGGGACTCCAAAAATGTACAAATAAGCAAACAGCTTGCAAACATTCAAATCACTGTAGACCTGTGCAAACGATGATTTCGAAGGTAACAAAACTGAATAGCTCTCAGGAAATTCTTTAAAAAATAAAAATAAAACCTATTTACTAACGTTGCAAGTTTACAAAAATTCCAATCGACAAAAATATTGGTATAGATCGTGGGCACAGTATTATAAGCATAATAAACGCCCCTTAAATCCTAGCGTGATTTATTTTTTCATTTTTTTCGAACCCCGTGCAGTTGGAATTATCTACATGATTATAGTAAAACTAATCCAGTTTTCCAAGATTGCATTAAAAAAATACAACTTTAATATTCTTAGCACGTTATACAAGCTGCATTGCACAGCAAACAAATTCCCTCAAACCAAAAATCGCACATTTAAAAAATGCAATTTACTCTTACTCAGAAACACTGGTTCTCCGGTGTGGCCTAATTTGGAATCAACGGGTTTTTTAGAAACGTTATATTTTTCCAGATATTCAAATTGTTCCGTTAAGAACTTATTATCAATACTTAACGCCATACAATACATAAACACAAATGCTTTATGCGCACGGTCGAATAGTGCTCGGTAATCCACAAGGAGATGTTTTGCCAATTTCACCGGAGGGTAAATTGGATGTATTATGTATATATGTTCATATAGCACGCGTATCGTAATTTTGATTGTTTTACCATTTCATGCGTGAATTTGGTTTTCAAACGGTTTTCATACATTGAATGTGCAACTATTATTATGGTCCCGTTCAAATATTGACATTTTATGTGGCAGAACTTTCTTTTCTTTATTATATAAAATACGAAACGGCTCACAAAAAAACGTCAAACAAAAACCGGCTACAGAAAATTAAATTTGCAAATTTCAGAAATTAAATTTTCACTTGTTTAATGAGTTAGCTACAAACATAGATTAGATAAATGAAGAACATGTGAAAATGCCTGGGTATTCTCGAGGGCTTATATTGTTCCAAGTCTAAGAAATTGGAACTGTCGAAATTAATATAATAAAACTAGATTGCAGAGTAGACCTTTATACCAATTGGATCGTATTGAGACTTTGATTTTAAATGAAATATTTTGTCACCCAATCTGCAAGAAACTTAAAAAGCGTTTTAAATGAGACGCGCTATACGTAAGTATACCTAAATTTGTATTTGAAACCTTCAATATGCCATTAGTAGATTGTATACACAACGACCTGCGATAGCAGAATTTGGCTACGTAAGCTACGGATGACCATACATAAGTTTTAAAATATTTGCTAACCATAACCAATGCATTTGTATCATTTTATATAAGTAAGTTTAAAATGTTTAATGGATAGTTTCAAAATCCCTCGTATAATGCACAACATGCTTCTCTAATATATGGGACTGTAGTAAATTACACATCTGTTCACATTAAATTGAAACTATGTTTATAAACAAAAGTTAGAAAAACATTTTTTCAGAAAATGCTGAATATGGGTATAAAAATTGTCATTAAAATTAAAGCTAAAAGTTCTATGATTTTGTAAAATGAAAACACTGAATATACACTATATAAATAATTTTGCATTGACTAAGAATATTATCAGTTTTTTAGGTATAGGTATACCAGAATTATAGAGTTTTTACAACCGACACGGTAATTAACTTTGCCTACTGTTTATTACTCCAAGACCGCAGCCCCTTATAGAACACCCTGCCAAGCAAGCCCTTACTCCTAATCATTCCAGGACCGTCCATGGAATTTATCTATCTACACTAACAAGCGACATATAAGTATGTTTTCAATCTTTTTGGCCTCGTACTTCCACTTCTGAATTTCTTATAAAATTGCAAACACTCAAAACAATTTGTTTAGCATCCGGAGGCAAATGGATCCGTTTCTTTATTTGCCGAGGTAGTTCGTATTTTGTCTTCAAATTCTGCGTTATTTTCCATATTTTGTTCTAACAGGAGAACATCTGCTTCATTCCACGGTGTCCACATTTTAAAGTGTTAAAAAACAGGAAACTTCAAAAAATGTTTAATTGTAAGATTCTAATAATTAATATAGCGTATTCTTATAGCGTACCTATATCTACCGTGAATATAATCTCTACTCTTAAAAAAGACTGTTTTTGTTTACAAATTGAAGACACAAATACAATAAAAAAAAATACAATATGAAAAATGTTGTTCATCGACAAGCACACGAGACAAAAATGATTATTTCCAAACTTAATTGTAAGATCAATAGAGTACAGGTACTAACCTTTACCTTTGAACTATGCGGTGAAAAAAGCCTCGCATAGTCAAAGCTCGAGATTCAGGCACATAAATACGTACTTACTGTACTAATGTTAAAATAAACGCTTCTACTTATTCGAAAATACCCAGCAGCATCAATGCTTAATCAATTTTTATAAAACTTCTGGATTCCTCACGCGTCGGTTTTTGTTGAGTCAAACTAGCTAACATTTCGCCAATCATCCTGTTGGCTTCTTCAGAGCTTGACTGAAACTGGCTCGCATTTTACTCTGTACCTACTTTTAAATTGTTTGAGGCGGGCGAAGCTAAATGATGGGCATAAACACCATCTCGGATTACTGATTCCCATATTGGTGACAGGTAGAGACTTGAGTAGCGGTTAAGACTGTTAGGTTCCTTATAGATTTCTATAGACTCTTGGATTTTTCGTTGGTAGAAGAATTAATTACTATGCAACGCAGCCTTAATTCTATCTTCTCTATCAGACTCTTTGAAAAAAAATCTGCCACCCCTCATGACTAAAATTCCTCGTCTCACGGACTCCCAAAGATTCACAAACCAGGATTACCCCTTCGACCTATTGTCAGCACCATTGGTTCTAGAAACATATTCTCTAGCAAAACATTTAGCTTCCTTATTAAAACCCTTTACAGGGAAAACTGACAGTTTCGTACACAATTTATTACACTTCATTGAACAAATAAAAAGCATTACATTAGATACACAAGATATTCTCTTTAGTTTCAATGTACGAAAAGTTCCTATTCCTGAAACTCTCACCATCATTTCAGATCAGATATATTAAAATCCGACAATCTGGAACCAAACGTTGTCACCTTCATTGAAAAATGCTAGTCTGGAACATATTTTTCTTATAACTGTCAATTTTTTGAAAAAATATATGGAACAGCTATGGGTTCTCCACTACCACCAGTTACCCAGAATATATTTATGGAAGCCTTTGAGAAGAAGGCTTCCGACACCTTCTATCTAAAACCAAAACTATGGAAACGCAAGGTCGATGATACTTTTGTTATTTGGCCTCATGGTCAGGAATCCTTAAGAGATTTTCTTAGACATTTAAACTCTATACACCCAAAAGTACGTTTTACCATTGAAATAGAAACTAATAAGAACCTCCCATTCTTAGATATTCTTATCAATAGAAAATCAGATCTAACATTGGGTCATTGTGTTTACAGAAAAACTTACGCAAACAGACCGATACCTTAATGCATTGTCACATCACCATGCAGCCCAAAAGTCATCGGGTATCAACTTTCTTGTTTACAGAGCCGTAAAACTATCTCAGTCCGAGTCATTGAACCTAGAATTAAAACACCTTACCACTGCTCTTCTCTCTAACAATTTCCACATTAAATATATTAAGCGTTCCATCACAAAATATACTTCACCAAAACCTTCAAATAGCAATGAAACCGAAAAAGCAATCCCACACTTGCCACTGTTGTCCTGCCTTATATTTAAAACATCACTGTCCACATATTAAAAGTTCTAAAGAAATATAATGTCAAAACCAGATTTACCACTTGTTCAAAAATATCTCAACATCTTCGATCCGTCAAAGGCAAAATTCCATTTGAGAAGCCAGGAGTAAGCAGCATTCCATGCATATGCTACAAAAAATATATTGGAGAGACCGGACGAAAAAAATAAACTAGGCTCAAAGAAAGAACATTAAGATTAAGACAAATTGTTGCCGAACACACTGACGAAACCGGACATAAAATTTTACTAAAAACAACTAAACTAAAAGTCTTGCATGCAATTAATTCTTCTGCCAAAGAAAAAATCCGAGACTCTATAGAAATATATAAGCAACCTAACAATCTTAACCGGGACTCAGGTCTCTACCTGTCACCAATATGGGAATCAGTCATAAGAGACGGTGCATATGCACCTCATTTAGCTCCCCCCTCCCCCCTCAAACAACAGAGTAAAATGCGAGTCAATTTCAGTCAAGCTCTGAAGAAGTTGGGCGAAATGTTAGCTAGTTCGACTCAACAAACCCGACTCAGCAGGAATCCAGAAGTTTTATAAAAAGTAATGCTTAATCAAATTTAATACTCTCCATTTACGTTTCAATTAAAAATTTCAAGTTTCTACAGATATTTGTCACGGTCCATCTCAGACAAGATATATTTAATGCAGAATAAAATCTGTTGGGATGGGTTTTACTACGGTCGTGCGAGGGTCTGCGGTTAAGGTACTGCAAAATACTTAAAATTTCAAAGCAATAAATGCACTTTAATTTTGATCGTACAATACCTATTTAACTAATAAAATAAAAAATGCTTAACCTGGTCTATTTTTTATTATTCGCAGGTAGAAGAGATTCCACAACAATAATTCCCCCACCTCCACCGCCACCGAAAATTGTCGCTGCTCAACGCAAAAGACGCGACTCCAGAGGCAAAGTCGAGCCTCCTTCATACTACAGACAAGAGCAGAGGCCTTCGACCTCTTCAACCGCTTCGGATTCTGGTGCATCTGCGGGCCTCCTTTTAAGGTGAAATCAATGATCAGTCAAACAAAATACTTTAACTGCGCTCAAATATCAGTTTAACAATTTGCTTGATATGCTATTATAGTGCCACCACCACGGCAACTGCGTCTTCGACAGATTCCCAATCGCAATCTGTTCTGCCATGCCCCACGATAATAATGTCGAGCGTTACTCCTCCCGCTACTTCTCCCACTGTGCCTACGACGACAGTAACAACACCGACGCATCCTATGTTGACGACAAGAAGAGATTCTACCACGCAATGCGGAAGACTTGGCAGAAGGGATTCCAGGTAGTTAATGCCAAACTCAACAACAATCTTATGGTTTCGATAAAACCAGATAGTCTTTTAACATTTCAAACTTTTTCTCCATACATTTTACAGAATTTTTTTGTAATAAACTTTGCAAGGAAAGAAATATCTTCTTTGAACTTTGATCATTAAGCAGACACAACATTAAAACGTACAGCATTCATTAGTATTAGCATAGAAGACAACTAGTTGGCTTCGCAAAACTATAAACAATCAAACACGCTTCTAAGTCCAGGTCGCATAAGTTATTATTTTTAAAATCACAAGGTTAACACGCGTAACTATTAGATTATTTAGTATGCCGGGGTTTGTGGTGATATAGGCAGGCGGCATTGCCACATTTATGGTGCTACCAAACTTTCACATTTTTAATAGAAAGGAAATGTTTTTACTAAATGTTGGGATTGTTCTTAAAATTATGGGTATTTTTCATGTAACGTACCCACAAAAATTCAACCGTTGTTGCAGGAATGGCAAAAAACGAAAATAATTAATGATTTAATCAATAACACAAGTCTACAAAATTAAACTTTTTGACAGATGTTTTAATTTTGGAAACTGATTTTATATAATTTTGACTGGCTCGCATTTTACTCTGTGCCTGCTTATATATTATTTGAGGAAGGCGGAGCTAAATGAGGGGCATAAACACCGCCTCGGATGACTGATTCCTATATTGGTGACAGGTAGAGACCTGAGTCGCGGTTAAGATTGTTAGGTTTCTATAGATTACATGCAAGAATTTTATTCGAAACCGGATATAAAATTTTATTCGCTAAAACTTGCATGTATTCAATTGTTCTACCAACGAAAAATCCTAGTTTCAGTTAATCTCTGAAGAAGCCAAACAGAACGATTGGCGAAACGTCAGCAAGTTCGACTCAGCAAAAACCGACGCAGAAGAATCCAGAAGTTTTTTAACAAGTATTACAGTAGCCTGGGAAAAATTTACTCAGCCTTTTTTGAGTAAAATCTTCCTCTTTTTGCCATCTGCGTTGGTATCGCGGTTCCATTTCCTTAATGTTCTGGTGAAACCTCGCTTCCTATTCTTAGCTAACTGCTCCAAGATTTTCAGGAAAATAGTTCAAGTGTGAAAACAAGAAATGCACCATCAAACTCATATTACCACCTAGACTATGAAAGTGTTGTAACATTTTTGAAGAATATTTTCATAGTTTTCGTCCTTAGAGTGCCCAAGAACCTTATCAATTACTTCTTTAACTAAAACCCAAGCGTTTTTCTCGATGTTGGTCATTGTGTTTTGAAAATTCTTGTCTTTGCATAATGTTCCTATCTGCGGCCCAACAAAAATACCCTCTTTTATCTTGGCATCAGATATGACTGGAAGTTTCTTTAACCAATATTTGAAACACTGTCCATTTTTGTCTAGGGCTTTAACAAACTGCTTCGTCAGGACAAGTTTGATATGTAAAGGAGACAGAAAAACTTCTTCGGGGCCAACTAAGCTATTTCTTAAAACATTTTTGCTACCAGGTGTAAGGCTTCTTCTAGATCTCTATCTCTTGCCCGACTATTCCACTCACAAATAAAGCATGGAAATTTTGTATTATTCCCCTGTTGCCATAGGAGCATGCAAAACACTTTACGGTCACCACAAAGCATCCACTGATGTTCTAGGTAGTGTATTTTCTTCAAAAGCAGTCTCAAATTTTCATACGGTTCTTTTAAATGTACGCCATGTGCAACGGGAACCTAATTTTGAAACTATGAAGAGGATGCAGTAAAACTTTTTTTGGGTCAACTAAGCTATCTCTTAATACATTTTTGCTAACAGGTATATTTGTTTAAATGCCTCTAAGTATTTAAAGAATGTCGGTAAAGTTGAATTCTATGCCCTACTAGCCCACTCACAAATATAGCATGGAAATTTTTTATAACCCTCCTGTTGTCCTAGGAGCACTTTAAGGTCACCACCACAAGGTCACATTGATAGTCTTGGCAGTTTTCTTCGAAAGAAGAAAAATTTTCATACGTTTCTTTTAAATGTACCGAAGGTGCAACGGGAACCGAGGCCACTTCGTTACGATTGTGCAATAAAACGCATTTTAAAGTACACTTACTTGAGGCAATAAACTAGTGTCATTCTTCTTTTATTTTGAAACTAAGTCAAGAATATTATTGCAATATACTTCCTGAATAAAAGATTGTCATAACTCTTTTTCGCGATTCCGGTAAAAGCTTCATATGACGCCAGGTACCAGTAAATGCTTGAGTCGAAGTGGACGCGAACGATTCGGATGCATCCTTTGGAAGGTGGAAATCTCAAATTAAATCATTTAGTTCGCTCTGGTGAAACACCTCGGACTCTCTGAAATCTAGTGTGACATCTGATTCATCTGGGACGGAATTAGATTCCTCTGGTTTTCACGATATGACGTACATCTTATCCATTAGGAAACGGTCGAATATCAGAGTCAAGATTGTAATATACAATTTGTTTCTTATTTTTTCTGTTGAATCCTTGAACATTACTAGAACAAAAATAAACAATCATCACTGGGATTCCTAGGCTCTCGCAATACCATAGGAACAACAAAGCTTAAACATTTCTTCCTACCTTTTTGCCAGTTTCTTAATGCTTCAACATAAATGGAACAAACAGTATGAGGAGCCCAGGACTTGTCTTGTCAAAATACTGTTTACACAATGTCTTCTTTCCATATTTATACGTTCTAGAACACTGGAAATACGCAAGAACGAAGATAACAGATGCCAAAACTGTAGCACGACTATCAATACAACCAAACTGCGCAAAAGCAGGTTACAACTCTGTATTGACGCTTCTGCGCCACCTCTGTTGCTTCGCAGAGAAATCTAAAGTTATCCAGTGTTGCAAAATAACGTGATAGAGCAAAAGTATTTCGTTTTTTGAAAAAAGCTCTCCCAGAAATATACAATTAAGCAAACAGCTTTCAAACATCAAAATCACTGTAGACCTGTGTCATCGGTAATTTATGAACGACATAATTAATGATTTTAACGAATTGTTTAACTTAAATAACAATAAAAACTATTTAAAACCAAAGTAAAAAGGTACGTATTTTAATACTTGCTCAAACTGACGTCCTTCTGTTACTTGACAATGTCCTAAGCGGTCCGTAAATTCCCGTACGAATTGACATATTAATGATGGTCGGTTATGGTGATAGACAAATTCCTATCGTTCAGTGTGTGGATTATTTCATACAGTATACCCAAATAGACTTCAACCTACAAAGTCAACTGCGGCCAGACTAATATCAAAATTTACAAATAGTGGGTTTGTAAAAGACCGCTCAAGACCCATCAAAAACCAAAAAACGAACGATGAAGAGGTTCTAAATGTTTTACTATCAATCAAATTTCGACAACACAGTTAGCTGCCAATAATATTCAATAATATTAAATCATCAGTGAGAAGAATTTTGGAAAAAAATACACGGAACATCATGCAAGGAACATCTCCTTCTTCCTTCTGAAGATGATCCAGATCGGCGACTGGAATTTTATGGTCGTGTTATGGATAAATCAATTTTTAATACAAATTTCCCAAGACTTTTTGTTTCAATAGCTTCATTAATCGACACAAACGCTGATATTAGTCAAACGAAAATCCCCATCTAACAGAGTACCTGAATTAAATGTTTCCAAATCGTTAGATTGGACGTAGAGCGACTATCGAGCGGCCCCCTCGTTCACCAGATTTAAATTCCCAAAAATTTTTTCTTTGGGGTAACCTCAAAACTAAAGTATGCAAAACCAAAACCCAACACCTAACCTGACTTAAAAGAACACAGACCAAAAAATGGAGACCATTTGGTGTTATACCTCCCTACAGGACGTTTGTTTGTGAATTTTTTAAAATAACTACCTTTATATTTTGTTTTTAAATTATTTTTATTATTATTTATGTTGAACGATTCGTCAAACATTAAATACTCCATTCAAAAATGAAATTCTAGTTTATTGATTAAATCCATAATTATTTTAGTTTTTTATCATTCTTGCACAAACGATAGAATTTTAGTATATGGTATGTTACATAAAAAATAGAATTTCAATAGCAATAGAAAATTTTTACAAAAACATACCTTTTCTATTTAAAATAAGAAAGTCTGGAAGCTTCTCGTATGAAACCATAGGTTAGGCAACGTCGCCTATATTACCATTCAATCCAGTCTAATTAGAAACCCCCGTATAGCAAATTTCATGGATTTAAGTCTAATAACCTGGTATATTTGTGTCTGTATGTGACGTCTTGTACCATTAAATAATAATTTTTGAGACGTTGACATTTCACTATTTTACTTTATCGATACTTGCAAAATCTTTTGAGAAGACAACGTTAAACGAAATAAGAGAGACGGAGTGTGTGCAGAACCTAGAAGAAATGCAAATATTCCATTCTATCTGCTGTTTTTTTTTAATTGCATTAATAATAAAAAGTATCAAACTTAACTGAACAAAACACAGAACAATTGCGTACATTGTGTGTCCGTGCTAAAATTAATGCGCTGCTTGTAATATATTTGCTAATGTTAAATGTATTTAGAGAATGAACTTCCACTCACAAATAGAATTTCGATAGAGATGAATTAATATAAGTTCAATCGCCCGATCGACTGCTTTAATTAATTAATTTTGGAACATCGCAACTAGAAGCAACTCACGGAATGGACAGTGTAATTAAGAAACTTTGAACTGAACGGACCATGTGGTTTTGTTTGTTTTAACTTCAGAGAAACTTCATACGCGGTGAACCTGTAGTAAAATATTTGCTCATAAACAACATTAACATATTTACAATATTATTTTGAATGGCATGAACATGGACATGGAAATAAAATTGATAATTTAATAGTTCACGAATAATTTTCACGAAATTATATACTATGACATGACAATTGTTTCGACAACACCGTGGGGCCTGGGGCCGAAGATCATGCAGTGGATCTACGGTACCATGGTGGTGCCTATGCTCACGCATGGGGCAGTGGCATGGTGGCCGGGGACCAAAACAGCGGGAGCAAGGCTAATTCTTGACAAACTGCAGAGATTGGCTTGCCTCTGCATAACGGGCGCCATGAGAACGGCGCCCACGGGGGCCCTAGAGGCTCTGGTGGGGTTGCCCTCTCTGGCGGATCGGGTGCAGATGGAGGCGGCGGCTGTGAGGCTGGCGAGCTGCGGGCGCTGGAGGGAGGGAACCTTCAATCGGGGTCCGTACGACATTTTAGAGGGCTGTCGCGGGGATCGCGGGGTCATGGGCATACCGAGTGACGTCATGATACCCGAGATGACATTCTTTGACAAATTGACCTTTCTCTTTCCATCAAGGGAAGATTGGAGAGAGGGCAGAGTCGGCTCCTGGGATGGACTTGTCTGGTACACGGACGGGTCCAGAATGGGAGATCTGGCCGAAGCTGGAGCGTACTGCGAGACAACGGGATCGAGCTTGTCCCTCTGGGTCAGTACTGCACTGTGTTTCAGGCGGAAATTTTCGCTTTATTTATGGCGGCCAGAGAGGTGCTTCGGCTCAACCACGGAAGCAGGAGAGTCTTCTTCTGTTCGGATAGTAGGGCTGCACTCATGGCGCTGAAGTCAGTGCGTACGCGCTCCTTGTTGATAAAGGAGTGCAAAGGGGTACTGAGGAGGGTGGCTGAGGAGAGAAAGGTCACGTTGGTCTGAGTCCCGGGTCACACCGGTATCCGAAGCAATGAGGCAGCGGACGCCTTAGCCAGAGAGGGCTCCTCGCATAGACATATAGGGCCAGAGCCCCGCTTGGGGATCGCACCGTGTGTGAGGCGGGGAGCTCTCGAAGCCTGGGCGAGAGACCGGGCCGCGGGGGGCTGGAGAGTTGCTCCGGGAATGAGGCAGGCGAGGCTTATGATGGATGGGCCCGCCCTTCCTCGGATCAGGGAGCTGCTTAGACTGACCAGAAGGGAGTGTAGAGCACTAACAGGGGCCTACACAGGACATTGCAGGCTTAGGAGGCATCTTTGCTTGCTAGGCATTGGAGAAGACCCGGAGTGTAGGTGGTGCATGGAAGGGGAGGAGACCCCGTATCATCTGCTAACCGAGTGCCCTGCCTTGACATGGGCAAGATTGGGAGTCTTCGGAACGGCCCTGATCGATCCAGACTCAGTGCACGGTATTGGGCTAAAGGAGTTGCTGACCTTCTAAAGGAGGGGCGGCATTCTGGACGCCCTCTGGAGCGGCCTGGGGGCACAACGGGCCCATCTGGTGGCCTAAGTGCTTGGACGCCCGCGAGGGCGCCCTCCTTTAATACCAATACCAATACCAATACACCGTGTCTTTATCAAATGTCCGTTTGATAAAGACACGGTGTTGTCGAAACAATTGTCATGTCATAATATATAATTTTGTGAAAATCTCAACTTTTAGTTCTTATTTATTTTGATAAATGGATTTTCATCAAGTAAAAGCCACCTCAGTTCAAATTTAATAGTTGACAGCGACTAGAGAAAATAATGTTTCTCATAAACCAGAACAAAAACAAAACAAATTATATCGTAAATACATAAAAACCATTATATATATATATATATATATATATATATATATATATATATATATATATATATATATATATATATATATATATATATATATATATATATATATATATATATATATATATATATATATATATATATATATTGTATTACTTAGAAAGGAGATAAATAATTTTTGAACTTTTAATATCAATATATTGGAATTATTGGTAGGTCTACTTCCGATACATTGTGCACAAAAGAAATGTCAAAAACTTAAAGGAGTCGGCCATTAGGAGATATTGCGCTACAAATATAGAGGAAAAATATAATTCATTTTATCTAAAAAACAGAAATAGTAACCATAATTCGTTACGTTGCCGGTGTTCCTCGACTACTACAAGTTCCTAAAGTTTTGCTGACGCTAATTTAATATAAAATATTTTCTACGTATAGAAGTCACGCAAGTCCCGAGAGAAGAAGTTCGAGACTTCAGAGACAAAACACCGCATTTGATGAAAGCTTGCCTCCGGGACCTAGTCGAAGAGGATCCCAACCCACAGCTTTAAGTCCAGACGTGGATGATACGGGACGAAAAGCAAGAAGGGATTCATTAAGCCCAGACTCGGCATCCAGGGGAAGGCGTGATTCAAGATCACACTTAAGTCCGGACAGGTAAAAAAGGAAGAAGACTTACTAAAAGCCATCCATACAACGTACTCTCTGTGGTTGCTCCAGTGATGATTTTTACCTTCATTGAAAGGAGTTTTAAGTCCCTGCTCATTAAGGTTCATTATCGATATGTTTTCCAAATTTTTTTTTCAAATGTGTTTATAATATATCCACCTATATTGACAAAACTTAGGAAATCTGTTTAATTGTTATCATTTAACTATCGAATAGATCTTAATTTTGATCAACTGAAAGTTGTTGAATATGCCCTAACCTCATTTTTGTTAATATATTTTGAAAATGTTATTTGAAATATCCACAAAAAATGTTTTACTTTTCTAACCGACAACTCTTTCTGCATACTATAAGAATATTGGTATTTTTTTATCACAAAACATGCGCATTGTGCAGAAGTTTAAAATGGAATCTGATAGTCGACAAATACTATGTAATGTCGGCAGAAAAGTAATGTGGCTCAAAGACAGAATATTCGAGTGAGCTTTAACGAGACTTAACTGAAATTACTACTAATCTATATTTTATTATATTATAAATTTTATTAACAATAGCCTATCGGTTTTTGTTAAAAACAAATTAATAACATTATTTTTTATAAAATCACTACGTAAATAAATAAAATCCCTGCTCATTAAAGTTTCATTATCGATATGTTTTCCATTTTTTTTTAAATGTGTTTATAATATATCCACCCATATTGATAAAAACTTAAGAAATATGTTTAATTGTTATCATTTAACTATCGAATGGATCATGCATTCATACAATAAATGGGAAAGTTCTTAATTTTGATCCACTGAAAGTTGTTGAATATGCCCTAACCTCATGTTTGTTAATATATTTTGAAAATTTAAGTTGAAATATCCACAAAAAATGTTTTACTTTTCTAACCAACAACTCTTTCTGCACACTATAAGAATATTAGTATTTTTTTTGTCACAAAATTGAATCTGATGGTCGACAAATACTATGTAATGTCGGCAGAAAAGTAATGTGGCTCAAAGATTCGAGTGAGCTTTAACGAGACTTAACTGAAATTAATGGCAACTTTGGAATTTCAACTACTACCAATCTATATTTTATTATATTATAAATTTTATTAACGTTAGCCTATCGGTTTTTGTTAAAAAAAAATTAATAACATTATTTTTTATAAAATCATTACGTAAATAAATACAACTTTGACCGTAAGTGATACCATTTTTTAAAATAATAAAATATGCGGTAGACATCAACAAAAATTACTTTTAATACAACCGTAGTATCCCAATCTGTAAAAAAATATGAACTTGAAATTCCAAAGTGACCATCGTCAGTTTAGAGTGGATTCAGCAACACTGCAGTTGCTGAAATACAATTTATCACCTAGAAGTTCCCTTCTTAGATCTTCTGTTCTTTTAATGACACCTTCACATATGTTACTCTTGTTGCTCGTAGAACAAAAAATGATCTGTAACGTTACCTATACTGGTTGTAGTAAGATTAATTAAAAGTTAACAGAAACAAAACAGAATAAAGTATTTCACAAAAAAATTAAAATGTCTCAATTTGACAGAGTAATAAATGGTAATGGTAAATGGTAAATGGTTAATATACAATTAAAATGATAACAATATAACAAAACTAACCTAAACTATCTTACACCCAAAGCCAAAATGCAAATTTCCATTCCTATTTTCCATCGCCATATCTAGTACTTCTATAGAGAATTGAAATTAAGAAATTTATGTGAAAATTAGAACATTGTACATTAATTTATAAAATTATAAATGATCTACAAAAATTCTCTGGGTGACGTGTACAAGACAAAATCACAAAATAACTTATTTTTCACTTATGACCAATGGCAATGTCAAAAAATATAATTTATTATCCACATATAGTACAACCTGGTAGCTTGTGGTTATAATTAGGCAGTACATCAGTCAGTTTAATTTTGATGACATGTAGATTATAACCAGGTGTCTAAAAAGTATGGAAACCCGACTTTTGTCTTTTGGGTATTTTAGAGTAAGGAAAAGAAGAAATATGTTAAACGAAAGTATCACAACAGTAGTCGGATTCACAACATTGCCCTTCTATTTATTGACAAGTGAGATAAATAGCAACGCCATCTATCGAGAATCCAACAGACAAAATTCGAACAAAACCTCAAGTCTTTGTGACATGGAATCCGAATCTGTAATAAAAAATTTGGATTTCCATTTAAGATTTTAAAGTTGGGCCCCACCACCAGTAGGTTTGGATGGGAGGTGTTATTAAGCAGTTTTTTAATTCAATATATAAACACATTTTTTTGTTTTTAAAATGCTGCAATTATCGAGATATCCACCATTTCCATACTTGAAATGAAATGAAATAAAAAAAGGTGAACGAGTCTAGTGTAGCATAAAATGTTTCTCGCTGACGCGGAAAACAGTAAATAAACATTTACCCATTTATTTTCAACAGGGTGTCGAAAACGTTTGCGGTAATTTGCCCTTGACAAACTTTCCGCTTTTTCGACAAACCCATCGAAAACGTTAGATAAATATAAAATTAGTTGTGTTGATCGTAACAATGTGTAGAAATGCGCAGTTTTCACAGATTTTCATTGGAAAATGATTCTATTTTTTTTTTGTAGGTCGGGAGAAAGAGACCTAAGTCCAGTCAGACGCAGTCGCCGTGGAAAACTTAGAAGACAATCAACAAGCATTGCGGGAAGACACGGCCATAGGTACAAAGTCGAACCCTTTACTTTACTTAATTAATACTATACGTACGTACGAACAGATACGACTTTTTGTAATTTCACTAACACGACATATGAAAATTACATTAAATATTTAGTAGTTGCCCCATTATAACCTCTTGATATACAGGGTTGTTCACGTTATGCGACACGGAATATGGTGGCCAATACACGTTTTCACAAAGATTTAATTTTTAGGAATTTAAAGTCTTTCATGGCAATATCTTTAAATTACCTTCATACTATACAAATTATCCCAAACTTTATAAAAATATCGAAGTTGTATTTTTTTAAGTGGAAGTCCTTGTATATAATAAAATGGTTGTGTCTTACGACCAAAATAAGTATGTGTTTCAATAACGTTTATAAGAAAATAAGAATAAGAAAAAGTCACTTAATTTGCTTTTGTTAATACGTAAGCAAAATCTACACTCAATAATAGATCATATTTTACATTTGAAGCATAAAATGCTTCCAATTTTACACAAGGTGAGCAATAAAATAAAAACAACTCTAAATAGCTATAAGATGTCTAATTAAATCGAATCACCTATTTTTTAGCTTACCACGGTATGTACTTCTTAATTATCTATCGAATATTTTATGGTGTTATTTTATGATTTTATGGTGTTTATTTCGTCTAGTTCTCTATGGTATTTAGAAATGGTAGTAATTAAGTTAAAGATAGAAATGGGTACATTTTCGCAAAACGACACGAATACATTCACTGACATGATCGCCAGAATTGACAAACGTCAAAATTGAAGGCGTGGGAAATATCTCCGAAAACATCCGATTGCTCCCAAACCCGTGCGGTAAAATCCCGGAAATGTCTGAAGTGCCTCGGATACATGGGAAAGAAAACTCACGTGGTCAAATGACACTTTCCGCATACTAGATCGGTTTATAATTAATAATTTTACATATTCATTAGGGTTAAACACCACACACCACAACAACAATAATATCAAAATTTCATTATATTATATCAATCAATTATATTGCATCAATTATATTGCATATCCTAAAGGAATTATCTGACATATCTAAATACCATAGGCAAGATGCATAGATGCAATCAAACATTAATTTAGAAAATGCCTCGAAAAGCACCAAATGCGAGAACGAGAATAGAGGGTAATTAAAAAATTCGTCCGCTGGTAAGTTAAAAAATGTAGTGTTCTTCCTATTTATTTCAGAAATTAAAGTGAGATTACATTTTGACAGAACTCAAATTCCTTAAATAACCTTAACATCAAGAACCTTATTGAAACCTACACATATTCTGATCGTAGAATCCTATATAACTTATTTTATTTTTAATATTTTTGGGACAACCTGAATAATTTTAAAAAGTAACCATAATAAGACTTCACATATCCCAGAAACCTTATTTTTATGAAAACCGTAATAATAATCGGCAGGTATGAGAACTAATTTTACAAACTTTAACATAAATAAAATGTTTGATTATTATAAAGGAAACACTTTCTGTTTCTGGTTGATAACATCTGATTTCTCAAGGAACAAAAATATTTTTTGGTTTTGATATATGTTTGTGTATTCAATATAATTATATAAAACCAAGATACATTACAACACAATACATACAATTTTGGAATCAAACTATTAATTATTAAGCCTTCTACAACAACAATTTTATTTTGCATATTATTTGGAATGGTGGGCTATTAACCAAAAACGGTGATAAATATTCTCTTACAGTCAGATGATGGAGTCATAAAAGTTAATGATATACACAAAAGACCATTCACTTGCTCTTTTTTGAACATCAAAGACTTAAACTTTTAGAAATCAAAAGTCACGTCGCATAAAGAATATCTGGATTTTTTTCCAATACGTAACAGTCGGCGTGATTTGAATTGTTATATTAGTGAAGTTTGATTTTATGGTGTCCAAAATAAAATTTTACAAAAGTCTCTGTTAGCGAAGTTGCAGACTCTCATAAAAGAAAAGTTTCTTCAATAAATGTTGTAATGGATGAATTTTCATAGAATTGGCTAAGGGAAATTTCAGTTTGTGAAAAATTAAAATTTGAATTCATCTTCAGTGGAAGGAGACACATCTTTTAATCCACACTGTTTTTAATTGATTTAGAAATAATTTTAACAAAGCAAAGTATTTAATAATTATTTAGTACAAATCAAAAACTTCTTTTCAAAAAAATTTTTTTTATACAAAAATCTATAATAATTTGTCGAAATACTTTCTCCATTTCATTTGAAAGAACTACTATATTTTTCACGGGTTTTCGAAAGCCCATTTAGTAAATGTAAAAAAAAGGTTCCGGATGAAGTTTGATAACTTTTCCAGTTTTTTTTTTCAAAAAAAATCACTTACTGTTGCAATAACCTAATGCTAATAACCGAATTCATGGATTACACAATCACACGTACCAGCACTTAAACCGTAATGGTGGAGCAAAACAGACTTATACATGGTGCCCGGAAATAACGTTCTAATAATTAAAGAAGTAAACATTGGCGCGAAAATTTACTTTTCAAAATATAGGGCGTCAAACTATTTAAAAAAAATGTGTTTTTAATAAATATCTTAAATATCTCTTTACCGATTTTATTGAAATTTAGTAGTTGTTTATTGTGACTGACTGTTTTAACTTTCTTTTTTCAAATTAAGCATTTAAAAATGCAACTGCTGTGTTTTCGAGAAAAAAAAACAATTTACTGAATGTCGCCAAACTTTAGTCAATTTTTTTATTAATATCCATAATAACCGTTATCAGATTCGTTGGAATTGGTAGAGGCTAACTTATCCCTAACTAGATTAAAATGTTCAAGTCTCTAAACGTATTTCCGGACACCCTGTATACTTAGATTTTACTGAAAGATGCTAACGATTTTCTTAAAGTTGAGTATGGTTATTCCACATGATGCAAGCAGACCTCTGAACGCTGTATTTTTTTAAATTTGATAATATCAAAACTGATTGACGTCGGCATACTGTTTCACTAACTACTTTATATTTTAATTTGGTTTAGAAAGTAACTATGGTTAATTTTATCTAGTTGGTGACGGTGCAGGATATTTAAGGAATATTTATTTTTTAGTATCATCTTAAAACAACATCATTATCTATAGTAATTGAAAGGTATAATGTATATACTAACCAATTCTCTTGAACGACAAAGAAATGAATAATGAAATTCGGAAAAGTGTTCAAGATATGGTCTAGGCACTTTTAGGTAGTCCTGAATAGGAATCTGTTGTTATTTTCAATTTGAAAAAAATCAGTACAGATTTTCCGCTTTATGACTTTAGTCGAAACTAAATTCTCTAAAAAAATCCTAATCGTACTTCTCTGTTCTCTTTCTTTTGTTAAATAGTCTCAGTTGAGTTTAGGTTAATGCAATAACCAAAACAAAGTTTTAATGCATTTGTGAGAGTTCTATCCAACAAAAAGTGGGACAGACTGTACATAGTTATAACTTTGCATATACATATGTAAAATACACCTTCATCTAATTGGCGTTTTTAGGCGCTACCAAACCAGCGGCCATGCCATTAACATATTTGTTTGTATTACATAATTTTTGTGTGAGTTTTGTAGAAATGTTTCCGAGCAAACAGTATTATTTGCGGTCATTTTCCGGGCTAACAGAATTCCTTTTAGTCCTTTTTCATAAGCACACTCGCCGTTATAAGTGGATGAAAAATTATGAGGCTATTGTATTTGGATATTAAAATTTCATTTAGAGCGTATAGGGGTTGTTATTCGTCGGGCAAAGGAATGATTCATGGGAGTCACTTGCACTATAATCATTACAAGACTAGGTTGTAACGATTTTAGCGATTCATGTCGCGGCGGATATTTTTTTTACATTTTAATTAGTAAACTAAGTTAGTTTTGTTGTAAATTAAAATTCATTTTGTATTACATTTTGAACTTTGGAAGAAATCTCAACAGATAGTTTTTTTTAGATGAAATTGAGTTTTCGAAATACTTTTTTTTTAAACAGCCTCGCTGTAAAATTAGTTTCATATTCTAATCTCCTCCAAAAACGACTAAGGCTTATTTGTAAATAAAAGCAAAAAGTACAAAGACATCCGCAAAGCTTAGAAGAAATATTTATAGAAAAATTAGAGTGAAATTGAATTACTCCAGGCGTTTTGTTTACACTAAAAACATTAAAAAAATTGAATATTTTTGATACGTTGTTTTTTGTAATATTACATACCATTGCATGAATTAAAAAAAAAACGTTTATTCATCTCCGGAAAGATTTCATTAAAAGCAAAACTTATCAACAAAAGAAATAGAGCGATTTTTGAGGTAACTTTCCGGAACTGGCTTCTTGAAATAAATCTTTCTACAGCAACTTTATTTTACATACGACACACCCATATTAATTGTATTGAATAGCAACTATACATTACATTCAGCTCTTCTCTCTAATTGTCTTTTATAGTTATTCAAACATTATTTCCTAAAATATTTAAACAATTTGTAAATGTTTTCACACTCCCGTTGCCAAATCCATAAGAAAATTGACGATTTGGTTCCACCAGGAGTTTAAGAACAATATTTACTGCAACAAGTTATCAATTGCGATACCAAACGAAAATATTTTACAAAGATTTAAAAGAACTAGGAATAATAATGAAAATCTAAGAAATCTTACATCGTCTACAATAAGTAGCGAAAACAGGATATATCTAGATTCATTGTGCAATTTTAATTACACCAAACAAACTTAGAGAGCTCTAAAGAGTTTTAATATTAATTCAAAAAAACGCACTACTCTTCCAAATAACTTCAATTACCCTGAAGAAAGTAATACGTTCTTTTCGTAGTTACCTCAAAATAAATCACACTGTAATGATGAAGTACAATAATATCAATTGTTTTAATAATACTCTACACTTTTCTTTTCTTTGAATTAACAAATCTTGCTGATGTTCATAAATATATTCATTAAATTAAAACAAATGCCACTGGAGTTGACGAAATGTCTCCAACTTATGCTTAAATATTGCAGTCCTTTCATTATTGATTCTTGCATAGAAGTAAACTATTTTCCAAAACGCTGGAAAATGTCACTTGGAAATTCATATATCCTATAATAATAAATAAAATAATGCCCCCACAAGTTTCAATGACGTAAGAATAATCAAATCAACTATTAAAAATATACGAAAAAGTTCTTTATAATCAAATGTGTACTTATATATATACTTATATAGGATAATAGCGAATGCTCTTGTAAGTGTGACTGATGATATTGACCGAGTCACTGAGAAAAAACTAATGACTGCCTTAATACTTTTTGATTTGTTGAATGCATTTGATACGGTGAACCATGACCTATTGATTTCCAAGCTCAATTTCTATGGTTTTTCCTCTAATTCAGGATAGCTGATTAAAAAATATGAAAATATAAAAAAAATATACTGTGATAGCAGATATTCCAAAGAAATTGAAATTTTCTCTAGAGCGCCGCAAGGTTCCATTTTGGGGCCGTTATTTTTTTTTTATTTACACCTCTGACATTTTAAAATCTTTAAATTTTTGCAACGTTCAGGCATATGCCGACGATACTTAGTTGTATTGCTGTTTTGATTTTAATAGTAGCATGGATGCAGAGGTATATATAAATCAAGATCTTAACAGGATTAGTGAACTTTCTCGTGCCCATAATTTAAAGCTAAACCCATCAAAATCGCATTTAATGATATTTAGAAATAAAAATAAAGTTAAGCTACTTAAACAAAATATTAACATAATGTTAGATAACATTAAACCTTCCGTTGTCGATTCAGCAAAAAAATTGGGGGTTAAAAAATATCTTTCAAAATCCATATTTCTCACTAAAAATCTTATATAGTAATAGGCATATTTTAAATTTTAGACTAAGGAAACCAGTATGTGAGTGACTTATTATCTCACATTTTAACTATTGTGATGTAGTGTATGGTTTTTTTATTGATGACGAGTGTAAGTGCCTTATTTAGAGGTTGCAGAATGCTTGTGCATATCGTCAACTTAATTGACTCAAAATGAAACAAAGAAGAGCTTTTCATTTCAACGTATTCGTTACGAAAATTGTCCATAACCTCGATTCACCCACTTTGCTGAGAGAGCAGCTTACTCCTAGGAGTACTATCCATTCTGTGATGTAGGATTAACGATGATACATCATCGGAGTGCCTTGTTTCGCAGATCTTTCAAATTCAACGCAATCCGTGTTTATAATTCTTTGTCAAAGAAATTCAGTAACTTAAATTTATATTCATTTAAAAAAAGGTACAAAGATCTTTTGTTACAAATATTAATAACGTTGTTGCTAATTATGTTATTAGCAAGGGATTATATTGAGTTATCAAATTATTAATCTTTAATTGCATTTTCTATAGTTTGTCGATCGATTTTGCAGGTATTTTTCATATTTTATTTGTTATTCATCCAATTTTATTTCAAGAAAAAGTGCGCAAATTAATTATATAAATAGTTCTTTACAGGTTCAGTAGAGTAGCTATTTAAAGTTAGACTGCGCCGCTTTTGAGCTATCTGTTTACTTTTCGTTGAAAAATTTTAATACTGTATATTGTTTTTTTTGTTATTGTAAAGGATATTTATTATTATTATTGCTATTATTATTATTATTATTATTCTAAATACAACAATATTTCTAGTTTGTTTACGAATATTACAAGTTATTTGACAAAGAAGAAGTGCAAATTCCGAAGATAAAATTTATATCTGGTGAAATCCCACTATTTGGACAATCACATTCTTATTTCGCAGGTCTCCAGATAGTTCCAGTTGTTCCTCTCGAGATCCCAGCCCATGCAATCGCGGTCCGCCACCTACCACTGAAAATTATAGACCAGCAATCAGACGACAATCCACAACAGAAGAAATTCTTATAGCCAGAGGTTTTCGCCGTCAGTCTACTACCGAGGAAATGATAAGATGTAGAAATTTTCGAAGACAATCGTCACAAAGTGACGAATGCCAAAGGTTCGTTGAATGCGACCTGCTATTGGATATTAAGACACCGCCAATTGGTTTTAATTTGAATCGATGAAAATAAACAATTTGAATTGCGTTAAATTTAATTTCCAGGAAAATGGAATGCAAATGGTATCACTAGAGGACGTATTTGATATCTTTTTTATAAAACTGGATTTCTACAAAAATTGCTAATGTTAACAGTGATTAAAGCGAGTACTATCTTCTAGGCTATCAATCGTGCTATGAGTGACGCGATTGCCATTGCCCCAAGTGACGTCCGACTTTATCTAAAAAAAAACAAAAAAAATGAAACACTATGAGATTTTTATGTCATTATATAGTTAACTACGGGTCCTACAACCCAGCAAAATAGCATCTGAATATCTTGTTTCTTACCTACAATGTGAATATAAGAATTTAAGGCTTAAAAAAAAGTTCACTAAATATAACGCTAATTTATTATTTGGGATGCTAAATCATAAGTAGTAAAATGTAGGAAACCATTTTAAAAGAGAAATAGTCAATTTTTAATTATCAGGACTGTCATGAAAACAAATTTTGTTTTTATCTAACCATCGATGCATATATTGATTGCCTACCAGTTTAGTTTAAATTTGTTAAATGTGTGTGGCATGAAAAATATCTTATTTAAACTTATCGCAATTCAGTGTCTGGAAAAAAATCGACGCTTTAGAAACTAAGAAAAATACCTATTATTTCAAAACACATTTTATTACTTAAATAATTCAATAAAGAATAAAATTGATAAATTTACAACAATTAATTACTTTTGGTTAGTTGACCTAATTAAACCTAATTATCAATTGACAAATAAGTGATATTACTAAATATTTGACAACCACTAAAAATATCGAAAAAGAAGAAAATGTCAGGTATGGAGCCATTCGGTGCCCCTCGAAAGTATTATAAAATAGTTAATAAATAATAAATATCATTTGGCATCCTAAATAATAAACTAGCTTATTGTTTCGTAAATTCGGTATAATTAAATATACATAACAACCGGTAAAACGGACACTTTTCCCAATATCTAGCTTTCTTTTAAGATTAACTTCTAATATTCATGTTTTAGATTAGGATAAAGATATTGAAATGCTATTTCACTGGGATATTGAACTGTTATTTGACTGACTAACTAATCACATTAAAAAAATGTATATCGCATTTATTTTTAATCAGAAATTTTTCTCGCGTCGCTCACACAACGATTGATAGTCTAGAAAAAGTCTTTTTAATTACTGCAAGTTTATTGAATGTGTTAAGCCTTTATGGTGATATGAACATTTGCTTAAGAAAATATTCGAAAATTCCCACCATTTTCTTGCGGAGATAAAGCAAACAGTAAACAAAAATATTTGAATTTATTTCAGCTTTAAAATAGTGCTCACTTTAATTATGGAAAGAAATTTTTATCCAAGCCGAGTTTGAAAATTCAAGGTAGCAATTACGCTCCCTGGTGGCCATTTTAGAAACTTTAAAATAATATTTTTTCAAATTTCTGTGAAACCTACAGAGCTGTTCAAATCAAAACTAACTTGCGAAATGGTTGGTTAGCTAGCGATATCAAGATAATATTTTTATACAAACGAAGTTCAGCATTAACAGTAAATTTGCGAATATCGCTATTAAAGAAACAGTGTTTCGTTATTAATAATTTCTTTGTTAATAAATATATGTAATGTACGACCTTTGCCAATTACAGATATCGAGGTAGAAGAGATTCGTCCGTTCAAATAGTGGACGGAACCGTTGCATCCATGACAGTAGAGACTAGCAGTACGTTTTTTGATTCCAGTACTCAAACAGGTAAGATTGATTTGAATATCAGTATTCCAAATATGATCATGAACAATTAAATAAATTCATTAAATTATTTCCAGTGCACTAAAATCTGTTATTTTTTTATATGGTACTTCTGCCTTTTTTAGGAAACAACATCTTTGAATTATTTTTGAGATGTACTGCTTACTCTTAACGTTTCGCGTTCACCGTTTACAAAGGAAAATGTGAAATGTGATGGAAATGACTTCATTCAAGCGAGACTACCGAACGCAAGACTTTGATAGACGTCAAATGCCCTTATTTTAAATTGAGTGTTCTTTATTCGTCACAATACACAATAACGAATTCCTCGAATTTGTTTGTAAAATGTCACTTATAGCGTCGTTAAAGATGTTAATTTAGTATTAAATAAAATGGCTAAAATTGGAAGCCCACAAGATTATTTTAATGTGTTTTTGTTGTCTGTTGATATCGATATTTCATGGTAAATAAAATGAGTTTTGTTTACTAATAAATGTTAGTTTATTCCATAGTTTGCGTAGCTGTGAATGAAATTTGACCTATATTTATCAAAATCCCAAGATCTGATATCAGCTTAACGAAGTAATTTCTTTCACATTTTCCTGTATTTTTTTAAAGCGCTAGGTAGGCAAATACAATTTGTAAATAACAAAAGAACTACATATCCGAGAATAAACCTTTAAAAAATGATTGAAATTAAATTATATTGTATTTACATATTTTAAATCGAATTACAATTGCAATTCTAATAATGGTTGCCATTTTTTGTATACATCTATCGAAGATACAACCACTGAGTTATAAAAATTTGACAGAACTATATTATGTAATTCATAAAAATAGAGTCTAATTTGGCACGATCTATCACTGAAGAAAGTTATAATCTAACATTTTTTTAAATTTTATAATGATAATAATTACGTTTCGATTGCCTATTTCTTCAAACCTGAAAACGAATCAATTGCTCGCGGATATTACCCACGGGTTTGGGACTAATCGGATAATTTCAGAGATATTACCCACGGCTTGAATTTTGACGTTTGTCAGTTCTGATGGTCACCTCACGTCACGTATTCGCGTTGCTTTTCCAAAATTTACCGAAAAACTAATGGTCGTAAAAAAAGCATACCATGCAACACGTTTGGTAAACTTTTTAAGTCACTCGTTTATTAAACACTCGGTCCGCTCGTGCCAAATATACTCGTGGCTCAAATGCCCTTTGCCACATTCTTTGAATAATATACTATTATAATGGCAAGAAATACATTTTATTGTACGTGCTTGTATTATATTCTATAGCTTTTACTTGACAGCAATTGATTTTTAATTTGACATTATGAAAATATCTTATTAAACAATAAAAAACTTCCTACGGCTTGACACAATATGAGACAATCAAATGTATCGAGTAATTTCATATTTTACCTGTCCAAAAACCGAAGCGTCGCGTTTTGAGCGCTTTAAAACCCTCATGGTTTTTTTTAGATAATCACCTTGCAATAAAACCCAAGGTGATTTTAGGCTACTTATTGTTTTATTAGTTAAAGGTTAAAAAGGTACTTATAAAAACCTGTGCCGGAAACCGGAAACCAAATCGAAAAGTATTAATGCTCAAATGTCAATTATCTACTCATAATCTCTCTTTTCGGTTGTTTATTTATTTATTGTTGAACGAAGTGTGTTTCGTTTTCTATAAATATCTATATAAAGTTTGGAGTTATAAAAAAGGTGTCTTCTAAAATTATGTGCATGGGAGTTCATGATTTATACTAGCTGTAGAGTAGGTGCTAGGTTTTGTTTTCTTATAAAAGTACTAAAACTGTTTTAAAAGCTAAGATTTCTTCCAAACTCCTCTTCAATATTCGTCAGTTAATAATAAAACCTTAAGCTGCAAAAAATATTAGTTCCCCACTATACTCTTTCTAACTCCTCTTCTACTTCCAGCTTCTGGGTACATTGCTTCAAAACAGCAAGAAAATAGAAACATGATTTTTTAAATATTTTGCCCATAGTATTTACCTTTCGATAAAATTAACTATTGATAAAAGTTTCACAAATTTGTTTTAGCGAATATTTGGTTAAACTCTGGATTTTAATGACGTGGGTGCCGGTGACACACTTCATTGCGTGTCGAGATATAGGTCATTGCTGTGTTTATCACTTCCGCTAATTTATCGACCAATTGCTCACTAAATTATCGGTTGGCAGAAAATAACGTTGATAAGCAGTTAATCATATCTGGTTTCTGTACCTACACGATTTTTAAATATAAAATGTCACAGCCGTAAGTGTGCCCAACCCTAGAGATAGAGTCCAAAACCAAATTCTGAGTCTTGAAAACGCGAATAGAAAGACAACCGCTGCGCTATATCCATAGTCAGCCAACTCACAATAATATCTTGGAAACCCTTCTTGTCATAATTCAATTATTATTGGTATTCTATGAAATGAAGGCCAATTTAGTTCATAATTTCAATACAAAATTCAATAAAGACAATAAAGAGTGCTTTAGATTGGTTTTGGCCTACTACTACTTTACAAAATTCGTATCCACGTATACGTAACGTATACTTAAATGCCCTCTTATTATGCTGATATGATATACGAAACTACAATTTCAATTACACCTTTTCATAACATACTGTATATAGTAAAGTTTATTCGCAAATAGAAGAAACCGACTTAACGCACAGGTTTAACTAGTTTTGATTAGTTGACTGGTATTCCTCCCAAAATGAATAAAAATTGTAAAAAAAAAATGGTATTCTGTCTAACATTTGTTTGTTTTTGAAAATGATTCGCTTTCTCGGCTAACTTGCCAAATTTAAAAATGTCTTAAAGACAGTTCGTGAACACGGAATAATGTGTCCGTCCAATGCCCGAAAGTCTTTCACAAATTACTATAAAAACGCCGTCGTCCCTCTCCTTGATTTGAATAGTCTTGGCGTGTCTTTAAAACATTGGAGTTTTAAAATGATAAAATGTTTCATTATTTGTGTACAGGGTGGCCAGTACAACGTAACTATATATCTAAGAATATACAGGGTGTACGAAAAAATCTTAAATTGAAAATTCATCTGGTTTGCAAAGAAGTTTTATTTTATTATATTTTTGCATATACCGCACTCAGTGTTGGCTGGGTAAACACAACTTCACTTTTTGTTTAATGGAACATACTGCCGGTTCTCCCGAAGGACCAAGCCTGGACTTTTATTATTGCGAATAAAGCAGTTACATAACTGTAAGCTCTCTTAACCAGTGCATAGAGCGATATTATTGGCAGAAATAAATTTAAAAACGACGAAATTACATTTTACCGAGAGCCTGCGACATTCTCGGCTTTTTTGTTTATCATTGCCTTCTTGACTTTTTATTCGTTGTCAAGTATAACAAAGCTTGAAACATGCAGCAAAATCGTCATATAAGAATATTAATTTGTAAATCTTTCGAAAACTAAACATTTTTAGCATAGACAACCTTATACAAACTCACTTTTATTTTTAATGGTAAATAAGATAAAATTATGAACTTTGGGGGTTTCCTTTAAAAAAAAAGATTTTTGGGAGTTTTCTTCATTTAGTATTTAATCTTACTTTTTAAACGACCTGTATTATTAACTGTCAAAATATTATAAAAATGCTATTAAAGTACGTTCTTGTCAACAACGTATTATAGACAAATTAAAAAATAGAAATTTCATTTTAGGAAAAATTGGTATTTTTTTCAGGGCCTGCGAATTACATATTTGAAATAAAAACTTAAATATGTCAAAAACCATTAGACATAGGTATAGAACATTATTTATGAAATTTTCCTAGACAATTGAGTAGAATCCAAAAATGAAGTTGTATTTAATCAAGCAACACTGTATATGCAAAAATATTTCAAACCCGATGACTTTTGTATTTAAGATTTTTTCGTACACCCTGTATATTCAGAGATAAGTTATATAGTTACATTATATTGGACACCTCGTACAAACAACATGGAAGAAGGCCAGGGCGTTCAGGTACCTACACAAATATCCTTCCTTTCAAAAAAAACATCAAAGAAAAAAAAGAAGTTGTAGAAAATTTTATTTACATTCAAAACTTTCACATATTTGAAATTTAATATAATGAAAAATAAATTTATTACTCCTACTAAATTTGCGACTGTCGAAAAAAGTTAACGCTATATGTCGTGCACTACCTAGTGACTTTCTTATATGTGCGAATAAGCTATATCTCCGAATTTAACCAACAGGTACAATTCCAGATTATCATCATAATGCTCGGAATAATTAGGCAATATATGACTTCTAACGATATATCTGTCATGCAGAATAAACCCTCTCGGGAAAATTTCACGGTTGACAGTCAAAGCTATCGTGAAAATTAGTCGAATTACTTTAAAATTATATCGATTAGCAATTTAGGCAGAACAACCCAATATGGGACTGTGCGTCGCCGTATTTCAAAGGAACATAATGAAGTAATGGGGACATTTACATACAAATCGATTAATTAAGGAATCGCTAGAACATGATGTATTTATAACCATGTTGACTAAACACCAATTTTTCGTTTTTAGTAGCCATCGTTATTCATGAGTCTTTTATAATTTCAATGTATTTTACTTCAAACCAGTTAATTTGCTTGTATTCCGGTTAATACTTTACCACAAGTTTTTTTTTTTTTTTTTGAAAATACGTATACTCTATAGTTAATGCTACAATAATCTACGGGTTCGATGTAGTCAATTGACCCTGAGATTGACATTATTGTGCCATATAATCCAAAAACTATCCACCCTTTATGTTTAATTACTAGAAACTTATTTGCTTATTTAATGCATTTTATAAATTAATTAGTTTACTTTAAAGAGTTATAATAAACAGGAAAATAAACGAAACCACTTAAATTCCGCATGAAAAATTTGACGAGGAGAACGTAACGCTGGGACCAGCATGAAAATTATACAATGCTGAGATGGAAATATTAACTCTGATAAATGAGTTCACTAAGGTCGTTTCTGAGCAAATTCATAAATTTCCTAAAATTTGAGCGATGAAGCGAACAAAATCTTGACGCATTTATACGGTGCGCCTTTTTAGATGGAAAGGATTAGTAAAGAGAAACGTTGGAATGCGAGTAATGACATTCTGTCTGTAAAGTAATGATAAACTACTTAAAGAGCTGCGTCTAGCGTTATCAAGGATCTTATATACGCCGTAACGAATGCAAAATTTTCTCCCAGAAACCTCCAAGAGAGTGATGATGTTGAGGATTTAATTACGCATAAATAAAATAGATAGACGACGAGGCCTTTCCTCTAGCTCTTTGATATGTTTGATTTTTAATTAATGGTGCCTTCCAGATCTATCGATTGCGTTATGTGTCGTTAACCTTGGTTATGTTTTAACGTTATCTGAAAACCCCGAACCAACTATGCAAACAATTAGAAAATATCTATTTCACATTTTTGTTTTCATTTTTGTTGTGTGAGATCTTTCATTATACGAACTTTACACTACACCTTTCTCAGCAATAAGATTAATAAATAACTTATATACGATAAGAATCAAAGTACTAAACTAAAAATGCGTAAAAAAAGTGACATCCTAATGCCTTAATGGTTAGAAAGCAAAGAAATATAATAATAAATGTGTTTACTCAGGCAAACAGAATATGCACTTTTATTAACACTCGAGAAAATTGCTGAAAATTAATTCCTTTGACTTTTGCCCATGAGATACAACTTTTTTAATTTTTTTTATATTTTTTTATTGATTGTACTGACCAAGCGCCGCCAATGTCGCACATGCGTTAATTTGCACCCCACATCTGCCACTAGATGATCATTAAATTACAACAAAAAATGTTTTTAATACTTTATGACCGCTGTTTCGGCAACACCGTGACTTTATCAAATACAAAATATGACTATATTCCGACATATGTACATATAAAATAGGTAGTAATAGATTTTTTTTTAATTACGGGTATAGGGTTATAAATTTAAATTTAACAACGGCGACGCATTTAAATCCAATTGGTCATTAAGTAATAAATTCGAATATCTCATTTTGTTAATCTCCATGGCTTCCAGCAAATTTAGTTTTTTGCTTTTTGAATGATTATGTAAAATATCAAAATTATCGTCTTGGGCATTTCTGAATTTAAATGAATTGCATAGTTAGGAGCTGAACTTTTATTTTTATCGCCCTTTTGTGTTCGTTAAGAGATTTTTGAGTTTTTCGTAATATAGTTTTATTGTTTTTTAGAAAATGTCTTATGATGTTTTTAGTTTTAAAAGCAATATTAATACCAAATTTAGATACATATTTCTAAATTTTCGAAATTTCTTAAATTTATTAAAAACTGTGAAAATCTGAACATTTTTTGTTTTAATTTAAATGTTCCAATGTTAAATGGATTTTCGTCAAGCAAAAGCCACCTCAGTCTGATATTAGCTTGAATTTTTGAATATGATCTACAGAAATATTTTCAAAAAAAAAACAATTTATTCAGTTGGTTACTTGATTGTCATGATATTCCAAAACAAAGTGGCATTCTTGATGTATTGGCGAATGCGCGAGGCTTCACTTATATGGTTTGAGGAGTTTTATGCCCTTTTCCAATGATATTCAGATTGATTGAAAGCTTTAGATATAGTAGTTCAAAAAGTTTGGCGTTCTCATGCATTGACTATCATTTTTGGATTTAATTTATTCTGTAATAAACGAAATTCTAGGCACATAACACAACATTACAACCAACAAAACTTAATCTATTACTTATATTATATATATATATATATATATATATATATATATATATATATATATATATATATATATATATATATATATATATATATATATATATATATATATATATATATATATATATATATATATATGTTTTGTTTTAGTCCTTCACGGATGGAACTATGTGTATTGGTGGTTATCCGGGTGTTCATCCGTTCGTTGTTTGACCCTGGAGTAGGATCATTCGCCTGACGTTTCGCCAAAATATCACTTGAAGATGCCAAGTGATATTTTGGCGAAACGTCAGGCGAATGATCCTACTCCAGGGTCAAACAACGAACGGATGAACACCCGGATTACCACCAATATATATATATATATATATATATATATATATATATATATATATATATATATATATATATATATATATATATATATATATATATATATATATTCTCACGTATTGATTCACGGATGGAAAAATGTGATGACACTATATTCCGGGATATCATCCGTTCGCTCGTTGAACTCCGACTGGAATCCTGCATCCGACTGGAATCCTGCAAATCTTGCATCCGACTGGAATCCTGCAGACGTTTCGCCAAAATCTCACTTGGCATCTTCAATGCTCGCGCTCCGTTCGAAGTGTTTTCGGAGCGCGAGCATTGAAGATGCCAAGTGAGATTTTGGCGAAACGTCTGCAGGATTCCAGTCGGATGCAAGATTTGCAGGATTCCAGTCGGATGCAGGATTCCAGTCGGAGTTCAACGAGCGAACGGATGATATCCCGGAATATAGTGTCATCATATATATATATATATATATATATATATATATATATATATATATATATATATATATATATATATATATATATATATATATATATATATATATATATATATAATGTATTACTTGTAATCTATTCTTTAATGGCATCTGGCAAAGCATTTTTGAACAATACATTTTGTGCTAGCCAGAAAAACTAATTTCTAAAGTCTTTTCTATAACTAGGTTTTTGAAACTTCTGCAAAATATGAAGGTATAAAAGCTACCTTTCTATTATTTTGAAACATAACTCAAAGCTTAATAAGCGAGTAAATCAACATCTATATTATTTGAACCACAAAAATAGGTAGAGTTTAAAACTGATCTGGGACATGACAATTAGCTCTGTCAATACTCCTAAGGATCGCTTAGGAAACTCTATCGAAATAGTGAAATAACGGGTTCCAACCTTGACTTATCTCTATGTGAGTCATTAATTATATCCAGGTTATCATATGCTAATTCAGTTTACTCCCCGCTTAAATGGCTGCGGAGAATGACAGAAAATAACGTTATACACAAACAGAAACAACTGACGCTTAAATTTTTGTCTTAAAACCTTCAAACTTCAAGCTTGTATCTTTTAGGGAACTAAATAGTGCTAATACAAGAAAAACCTCTCCAACATCGAACATCTTTTCAAAAAAAGATCCTAAATTGTTCAACAAACTTCCAGTAGATTTTTTGACATGACTTATCCTTGCCTAATTACAAAAAAAAGGTTGAAAAGATATATTTTTGATAAAGAGAATGACTTTTTTATTATAATGATGACAAGGTTCTGTTTAAAAGCGCCTAATATCCTTTTTTTGTTGTTGTAAAACTTTTTTATTTTCTTTAATAATAAAGTCACAATAACAATATTAATATTATCAAAGATTAATGAAATTTGATAACAATCACTTTCCTAATGTCGAATGAGTAAATATTCCGTTACTGAAAAACGGGTGTAATTATTGAACAGCCATTTGGAAAGTGAAAATTTTAAAATCAATCATTTCTAAAAAACGAATTTTAAGTGAGATAAGTAGGTTGAGAAATATTTTTACACTATTTTTTAAAGTTGTTGATACCTGCCACGCGTAAAGTAACTTTTCCTCATCGGTTCGCTAAACAGAGAACGGGTTAGCAATTTCCGCTCAGCTTTAATTAGTTAGATTCACCGCCAGTTCCAGCGGAATCTTAGGATGATGCTATTAAATCTGGTGCCATCAACGTTCCTATTAAAATTTTCAGTAATATTTGAGCTTGGAAGGTTGGCAATCGATCCAACGGGGGTGGGGTTCGGCACAGTTTGTTATCCGGACGCAAGACAACGACGTCTCCGACGTCCGACCAAACAGTGCGTTCCACATCGGCGACGAACGCGGATCACATTCAAACTCACTCCGTTGCAAACTGTGCATGCACCCTGTCGTGTTGTCGTTTCAATTGTCCTGTTGCGTCTTGAAACATTCTCCCACCCCTAAATAAACTACTCTAAATACTCGATAGCAACAAAACCAGTGTGGATTTGTGATTAAACTTTCTGTTGTTTTCTCACCTCAAACTATCAAAATTTCTTCTACAGACCAAAATGAACCCGAAAGTATCCCTGGTCCCTCTAAAGGTACTGTTTGATGTTGTGTAGTTTAACTTCTGCCTGCTCGATGTGTTTTGCAAACTTTGCGGAATAGAATTTTTAACGCACGCACACACTACGGCGTCCTAATTTACTTTTACATCTACACCTGTCCGGTTTTGTTTATCCGCTACGATGAATAAAGGACCGGGGGAAAAAATACCAAAAACAAAAATCCCGCTCAAAAATATAGTTTCCGGCAGTCGCTAATAGTCCGGCGGTTTTTCATTTTAAATTGTTTAAAATCAATAGATTTTTTTGTAAAACCATGTAACTCTAACTTAATCCTCTATAAAGTTACTTTTTAGCGTTTTAGTTATAATTATTTTAAACATCGCGTTTATTGAACTAAAATTTTATCTTAGCTACCATAATACTAATCTCTTACAGTGCAGCAAAAATTAAAAATAAAACTTAATAAATAAAAGTTTATCAGCGTACGAAAAAAACGCATTTGTATTAATTATCCAAAATAAGGATGTGCGGCTCTTGAGCATTGATCTAACAACAACTGAGAGATACAGCTATCTAATGTTGCACGAAAAAAATCCAAGAAACTTTTAAAATTAAGGACACCATCGACTCCAATAGAATTTTTTGTCATTACAATTCGCTTCCTAAACTATCAAAAATTTACTGAAGCTAAATAACCCATAATTTGCGGACTATTTTCGATAATATTAACAAAAATTCTTGAACAGAAAATATAACAAAATTCTCTTATTTTTTCGTGAGTAGAATGAAATCAATAATAATTTCAAATAATTGTTTTCAAATAATTGTTTTATTACCCAATCGCCGAAGAATGAAAAATTTCAGGTGTTTTTATGTAACACAAAAAACTTAAAAACTACGTATAGTTCAAAATAAGGCATATTTTTGGCGCAACATTAGATTATTAGCACTGAGAAGAGTCTTCTTCTTCTTCTTACTACGCCCTCTCCTTTCGAAGGTCGGCGATCCAAATGGCTATTGTGGCTCGGGAAACTGCAGCCCGGAATATTTCTATTGATGAGCGATTAAACCACCTCCTGAGGTCCTTGAGCCACGAGTTTTGACGTCTTCCTATCGATCTTTTACCTTGGACTTTGCCCTCTATTATCAGCCTCAGAAATTCATATTTTTCGCCCCTCATAACATGGCCAAGATACTGCACTTTTCTCTGTTTTATTATATTTAATAATTCGCGAGACCCGTGCATGCGATTCAAAACCTCATTATTGGTGATTTTCTGTACCCATGAGATCCGCAGTATTCTTCTATATATGTACATCTCGAACGCTTCTAGTCTCTTCTCTGTTTGAGCATCGAGTGTCCAGCTCTCGCATCCATAAAGCAAAACAGAGAAGATGAAGCATCTCACCATTCTCAATCTGAGCTCAAGACTTATGTCAGATCTTATGAAGAATACCCTCATGCTCATAAATGTTCTTCTCGCCTGCTCGATTCTCGACAATATTTCCTTCTTCGGATTACATTGGCTATTGATATTGGCTCCCAGGTATTTGATTGAGTCGACTTGTTCAACTGGCTTCCCATTAACATTTAGATGTACATGAGTAACCGTTTTTGAGAACGCTAGTGTTTTGGTTTTGGCGACATTTAATTGCAATCCGAAAAAGTGGCTATAATGGACTATGCGATCTATCATGATTTGTAGCTCGGACGGACTGCTTGCCATGACAACAGTGTCGTCCGCGTACCTGATATTGGTTATGCTGATGCCATTGATCTTTATTCCTCCGTTAATTCCATCCATTGCCTCTCTGAATATAGCCTCCGAGTAGAGGTTAAACAATAGTGGGGACAGCACACAACCCTGGCGAACTCCCCTCTTGATCAGTATCTCATCTGATATGTTTTGCTCGATGTTGACCACTGCTGTTTGCCTCCAGTAAAGTTCTGAAATAATACGTAAGTCCTGCTCATCGATACCGGTTGCTGTTAGTATTTCGATCATCTTTTGATGGTTGACGCAATCGAATGCTTTGCGGTAGTCGATAAAACATGCATATACGCTTACATTCATGTCCCTGCATCTTTGTGTTAACACTTTCAGAGAGAAGAGTGCTTCGCGTGTACCTAGTCCGTTTCGGAATCCAAACTGAGTTTCGCCTATTTGCAGTTCGCATTTCCTGTATATTCTTGTGTGGACAATTCTAAAAAATATTTTGAGCACGTGGGACATGAGGCTAATCATTCTATAATCGTCACAATTAGAGGCATTGACTTTTTTGGGCAGCGTTATAAAAGTTGACTTTAGCCAATCGGCTGGTATCTTGCCCGAACTATAGATCTTGTTAAACAGTGATGTTATCAAATCCAAGCTTTTGCCTTCATTATCTGCTATTAGTTTAAGTGTTTCTGCATGAATTTTGTCTGGCCCAGTAGCTTTTCTATTTTTTTGTGATCTGATGGCGTGCATGACCTCATATTTGGATATTACTGGACCTTTTTCGTTTAGTTCGCTGTTATATGAGGGTGGGGTGTGTGTTCTTTCGTCGTTGTATAGCTGTTCGATGTACTCATGCCATCTTTTCAGTTTAGCATCTATTCCCGTAATTATTTCATTGTGTTTGTCCCTAAGTATTGATGCATGGTGTCGCCTGTGTTTGCCTGTCATCTCTTTTATTCTTTTATGCAGATTAAAGCTGTCATGTTTTGATTGTAGCTCCTCTATTTCTTGGCATTTTGCTATCAACCATTGTTCCTTTGCCTCTCTGCATTTCTTTCTAATAGTTCTATTTAGTTGTTTGTATTCTGTCGGCTTTGTTTTAAGTTTCCTTCTCTCATTCATTAGGTCCATAATTTCCTGTGTCATCCACTCTTTCTTCCTGTCGTTCTTTATGTAGCCGATGTCCTGTTCCTCTATGTTGGTTATTTTGTTTTTAAATATGTTCCATGTCGTCTCTATTTCCCTTTCTGGTGCCAAACTGACTGCTGCTTCTATTTCTCTTTCTATTTTCAAACTTATTTCTTGTTTCTTTTTGGTGTTATTCAGTTGTGCAAAGTCTATTTGTTTTGTGGTCTTTTCCCTTTTGGTATTCATAAATCGTTTGAGTTTGAAGTCTATCACCACAGGATTGTGATCACTATTAATGTCTGCGCCAGGGTATGTTTTCACTGCTTTTATGTATTTTTTGAATTCCTGTCCTATGAGAATAAAATCAATCTGGTTTCTGATAATCGTCCCCTCTCTGTCTGCAGGTGATCTCCAGGTATATAGTCTTCTGGGGTGAAGCTTAAAAAAGGTGTTAGTTATGATTAGGTTGTTTTCTACACAGAACTGTATCAGTCTGTCGCCTCTTTCATTGCGCGTTCCAAGACCGTAATTCCCTACACTATCTCCATCAGAACCACGGCCTACCTTGGCATTGAAGTCACCAATAACCATACTTATTTCACCCTTCCTTGTCAGTCGCATGGCTTCATCAACTTGGGAGTAGAATTCTTCGATTTCTTGGTCTGATTTGTCCTGTGTTGGAGCGTAGATCTGGATTATGTTTAAATTTCTGTGGGTTGTTTGTAGTTTTAGCATCATGACCCTATCACTTAGGGGAATGAACTCTGTCACTGACTTTGCTATTCTCTCTGAGACAAGTATTGCCGTTCCATATCTATGGTCCGGATCAGTGCCTCCTGAATAGTACATGGTCCCTCTTTTAGTTTTTTGTTTTCCAGAGTTAGGCCATCTGACTTCACTCATTCCCATGATGTCTATGTTCAATCTGTTCATCTCGCATTCAACGTTTGTAAGTTTTCCTGCCATAAATAAGCTGCGTGTATTCCATGTGGCAATGCGGACGATTTTACCGTAGATTTTGAATTTTTCGCTGTCTCTATCTGCATATTTCTCACTAGTGGAAGACGGGGGTATTCTTCGCACCCTCTCCCCACTTAAGGGGTGCCCCGGACTGAGGGCCATTTTTGTGTTTTCTTCAGCCATTGAGATTTTTTGGAAAGTATAATACAGTAAGAGTTCCGTTTCTTTTCTGTATCGCAGTACCACAACTATTAAAACTGCTACAGTCATACTTGTAGTGATCCAGTAATGAGCCGGTCCAGAGTCATTTTCTTTGCGCCCCATCCTGGTACTGGTGGTCGCTGCTGCCCTCCACCAGGGATATTTATTGACCTCCCAGTCTAGATCCGTACTGTTCTGCGTTAACAGGATCACCTCGAGTAGGATGTGGCTCTGCACCACGCAGTACGGTCCTGGCTGAGGAGAGGCTATGTGTGCTTTTAGGCACGGACGCGTCACCCAGCCCTGGTTGTCATGAGGACCAGTGCCCAGTCATCCCGAAGCAAAGGTGCTACCTCTCTAACAAACCTTGAACCCGAGAAGAGTCTACGAAACTGGAATTTATATTTCAAAAAAACGCCCATCAATCTCCCATCACAGAGACGCGCAAAAAATTATTTAAAAATTATGAATGGTTTTTTTTCGCGTCGGATCGATTGACTGGACTCTCACAGATATTCGGTTTGCAATATATTATTCAAAATCCCACCAAGACAAAAATTAAACATCATTGCTATTTCAAATTTTTCTTTCTCGTGTAGAACCAAATGATGCGCTCATATTACTTAATTACGATACCAAAACTGCTTGGAATGTTGATAGTGCATCCGGGAATTATTAGAAAGAAGAAAAACTTTAATGTAATGTTACACATATAATTTCTAATAAAAAAACAGAAATCTACTTTGAATTATACGGCCTCAAGAGTGTATCCCTGCCTCAATTTTAAAACCGATAGTTCCAACGAGTACCGCAAATCTTGCTCGCAAGTTTTTGAGGTACGAATCTTAACACGGTCCTGAAAGAGCAAAACTTTGAATTCACTTTACTTTAATTGCCATTAAAGAGTGTGTGTAAAATCAAATCCTTTGTTAATATTTGAAGTATTGTTGTGATGCAGTCAGAAATTGTATATTAAATAATAACGAAAAAATGCATTCGTTCAAAAAGCGGAAGTTAAACAAAT